GCATCACTGGCACCTGTTCCTATTGTAGGCAATCCATAGCCGACGTAGATTCGAGCTCAGTATACTCCAGAGGTGGCTAGAGCGTTGAGGCTCTCATTACAGCTACGGAGTTGATTATCTGACAACTCCGCCTTGGCCCCCAATGTCTCCTCGAAGGACTTGTTGTCCACGGCTGGGCCAACCTCCAGCAACAATTCTACCGCTCTTGTGGTAGTCGCCGATCCGGTAACCGCTGGGCTGCCAATCTATCTTGACAGCTCATCCTTATCGGTAAAGGCATGTGGAAGCATTGCAATGATGTCTTTCATTCTGACGACAAGTGTTGTACAATCGATTACAAATATAGATTGCAGAGAGTTTGTTCTGAGCGCTAAAAGCACTCAGGATAGAGCACATTTTGTTTTGTTCTAACATTCAATCACAAAAGGCAACAACACAAATTTACGTCAAGAACAGCACTGCCTTATCTACAAAGGAGTGAGTGATTCGTTGACTATGGGACGTTCTTCTTCCGGTGGAGGAAAAGGACGTGTGACTCCTCAGAAAAGTCAAGAGCAATTCAAGTTCAACAGTTGTGAAACATCTATGTCCAACTAAAGATGAAAACGATGGAAAGGCAAGATCGTCGTACGAAGATGCCAAAGAAAGAGTGATTGACTACATCCAAGCTTCTGGAATGAAATATTCCAAAGACATGGTGAAATCGATTTGAGATGGAAAGTCGGTCGACTTCAATGCGATCGCTCCAACATTGAATGCTCCAACTCAAACTGAAGCTGTTGCAAGAGAAACAGAGATGGCCCAAAACAAGATTCTCTATTCTGCAAAGCTCGAAAAGAACATGCAAAGATCAGCCTACTTCAAAACAAAAAAGCGAACTGTCAAATCAAATATCATGCTGAAGTTTGTGACAAAGGCGATGGATATCAAGCTTCAAGGTGAAGCCGATTTCATGACTACTCTTGAAGATCCAATCGAACTCTTGAAACGTATTGAACGATTCATGAAGAAGAGTGCTGATGCTGAGTATGACTTCTTGGATTTCTGGGAAGCGAATCAAAAGTTCTTTGCTATGAAGCAAGCAACAACAGAAAACTTGATGCATTTCAAGGAACGATTCTTGAGACAAGCTGAAGTCCTGCAAGATCTATATGGCGTTGCCTAGTTCCGAAATTTTGCAGTCAAGACAAAAGCGTATGCTGCTATTGCTAGCACCGATACTATTGCTAAAGACAAGTTCAAGGATGATATCTTTGAAGCAGTTCTTGCAACAGGATTCCTGTGCAACTGTGATCGAACGAGAACAGCTCCTCTGATGCTGGATCTTCAGACGAACTACTGCAGGGCAGTGGATTATTATCAAAAGACGGTCAGCAAAGCGCAAGATATGTTGAAGATTCACATGGATGTGATCAAGAATCCGGGAGTGAACCTTTACCAAGGAAAAGACCAGCCTAATAAAGGTAAAGGTAAAGGTAAACCAAAGGACGAAAAGAAAAAGGCAGCATGTTATGTATGTGGCAGCAAGGACCATATGTCTCCAAAATGCCCAGACAGACTGCTACCAGAGACTCAATGGAAACATCCGAAACACTATGTTGATTTTATGGGAAGAAGCTCAATCTTCAAATTTCGTCCAATAATTACCGTTACTTCGCTTAAGCGACTGACGACATGACTGTTGGCGTGAAGACAGATGTCTTCTCTTGCCAGTCCGTCTACCGTCTTGCCTGATCATAGTTGAATTATTAGTACCTACGGTATGTGATTTAAAAAATTGAACTACCAAGAGCCAACCTGGAATTGTCGTAGAAAGTATAACGGCGAATCAATGTCAACGACAATATTTTAAACCCCATAAAAAACAAACCAATGTCGCCGTTTCACGATAAGACAACGACTGCACATGGGGTTTTTCGTGATGGGTCATCACGATATAACACTTTACAGACTGGGAGAGAAACGCCACACAAGAGAGTTAAGAGCGGAGCTGACGGAAACAACGAGAATCCAGCTGCATTATCTTCCCAGTTGTTGATTGGTAGAACAACACCGCAATCGCTTATCCGAACTTACTCTGAGCCAAATGGGTGGAACGGAGGAGACACGATTCGGGAACCTTCTCCTGCTCGAGATCGTAGAGCTATGCTCGAAGACTGGAGGCGCAGAAAAGGTCGCCATGTTACAGGCACAGACTCCACTTCGCGAAAACGTGTTAAGCGCATGCCATCTTCGTGCCGAGCAGGTTATCATAACAGAAACGATCTCCAAGACACTCACAGCAGTACACTTCAGAATAAATCCCACGATGATAGAGACGAAGAAAACCCAATCAGAAAATACCTTGTGTCTTGTGCCACGCCTGGTCAAGGAAAGCTAGGAAGTGCTCGTCGAAGCAGCCTGATGGAAAAGAGTGTCTTGAGTAGTACACCTGAAGGTGAGTGTTTTGAGATACGGCATGCTTTGACTTCGTTTTGAAACTCTAATAAATCCTGGCTTTTTCAGTCCACAAAAAAGGAACTCATCCAAGTTCATCAAATTCGGCACAGGTAGATACCATTGATGACGCTGGTTTCCAATCACAAATGGAAAGGATGAAGCGACGTTTGGAACAACTCGAAAAAGAGAAAATGGATTTGTCTATGTCAAAGGCACCATTGGAGGCAAGAATTCGTCAGAAAGAAGACGCGTGGATGAAAGAAAGGGCTCGTCTTATGCAAGAAGTTCAGTGTTCAAGACTTTCGCTGCGGCAAGCAGATGATAAATATTGTGATCTTCAGGTCCAGTATGACCAGGCCCATGATGAACGCATTCAACTTCGCCAAGAATTACGAAAAGTCTCGAGCTCTCGTCAAAACTCTAAGGATATTGGGTTGTGGTCCAGAAAAATTCAAAACGACCAGGATCTTTGGGATCTTAAAGAAAAATTACGAGCATCAGACGAAGAACTCAAGTCTACTCGATTGGCAAAAACTTCGCTTGAAAAGGAGTTACATGCGACAAAAATTGAATTGGACTGTTTGGAGCGCAACAACAACAAGATGCAGGCTGAGTATGATGAAATTGCAGCACAAACGTCAGACAACAGAGACGCAGAGATTAAGCTGCAGGTTCTAACAGAAGAACATATGGCAACCTCAGCTGCTCTCAATGCAGTTTACGCTGAATTAGATGCAACAAAAGCGAGAGCAGAAGCCACTATATCAGAAAAAGATGAAACACTCAGAAAAGAGATTGAGCAACTTCGATTTGATCTGAGTGTAATGAAAACTCGAGCAAATAAGGTACAACTTGATTTGAACAAATCGATACAGAATGCGGAAGATGAAGATGAGGCGGTACTTCGCGCGCGGATCGAAGAGAGAGACCAGCGAATCATTGAACTCGAAGCGGAGCTCCTGAAAGGTGAAAAAGTTCGTCGACACATGCACAATTGCATCCAGGAACTTCGTGGTAACATCAGAGTTTTCGTGCGAACACGACCATTTCTGCCAGGCGATGAACAAGACAAAAACTCTCCCATCAACATTACACCAGATGGTGAATCGATGTCAATAATCGATCGTCGAAGTGGAAAGCCACTGATTTTTCACTTTGACAAAGTGTTCTTACCTTCGGCAGGCCAGGAAACGGTGTTTCAGGAAGTTTCCGATTTTGTACAGAGTGCACTAGATGGGTACAACGTTTGCCTTTTTTCGTATGGACAAACTGGGTCTGGAAAGGTAAGTGAAATATTCGCGTCCATTGCACTCCATTGCAATATTCCATGATTAATCAACATTGTATTACTATCAAAAAGACGCATACTATGCAGGGGTGCGGTAATGGTCCGATGAGAGGAATCATTCCCAGGGCTGTAGAGCAGGTACTTGCCCAAGCAAAGAATCTCTCGAAACAAAAGTGGGCATTCACACTTTCTGCTTCTTTTCTTGAAATCTATAACGAAAGCTTAAAGGATTTGCTTGTCTCCATGCACTCTGCACAAAATTCCATGCATGGGCAAAAGCTTTCAATCAAAAGAGATAACGAGGGCAAGATGTTTGTCCAGGGTCTTACAACTGTACCTATCGATACGACAAGTAGTTCTGAAGCAAAACGTCAGCTTGAAGCATTGATGATGGTTGCAGCACAGTCACGTTCGGTGGCAAGTACAAAGATGAACTCGCAGAGTTCTCGAAGTCACTCGATTTTCATGATGCAGCTAAGAGGGTTGAACGAAGATACAGGGGCGAGTGTTTGCGGTGCTTTGAATTTATGCGATTTAGCTGGAAGCGAAAGACTAGATCGTAGCGAAGCCAACTCCGATGCTGCACGGCTCAAAGAGACGCAATCAATCAACAAGAGTCTCAGCTGCCTCGGAGTAGTCTTCAATTCACTGGCCATGGGAGCATCTCACATTCCTTACAGGAATTCGAAACTGACTTATTTGCTTCAGGATTGCCTAAGTGGTGATGGCAAAGCACTCATGTTTGTCAATTTGAGTCCAACGACAGAAAGCAGTGGAGAAAGTTTGTGTTCCTTGCGATTTGCGCAACGTGTAAATCAAGTTGAGTTAGGCAAAGCGACAAAGAACATAGCTTATACGAAGACTTGAAGACAGCGCTTTGCAGTTGATGATTGTGCTGGTAGAAAAAAGTCATTCGAATAGGAACTACGGTAACCAATGAATGGGCACAAAGCAATAAATCTCCATTATTCGTTCAAATAGTCTTCTGCAAACCAAATTAGAGCTTGTCGAGGTACTTGCTGAGTTCTGGCACTCCTTCAGCAAGACCCTTACGTTTTCGCACACTTAAAACGACTTCTTGAGTCTTGGTACCGTCGTCGTAAGGTGACCCGGACATGGCTTCCCAGTGATCGAAAGAACATTGTGGGAAGGCCTTTCCACCAGTGTTGGAACGGAGATCGGCTGTGAAGCCGAATGATTCCATAACAGGCAAGTATGCGAGAAGGGTCATCATTGGTGTTCCCGGGCGTTGTTCCTCGGTGAAGACATGTCCACGACGACGAGTCAAAACACCGTACACATTACCCATCGCATCTTGAGGAACGGAGATATTGCATAGGTAAACAGGTTCGAGAATTCCTGGTTCACCAGAAAGCATCGAAGAGAAGCAAACACGACGGGCGGTAGGCATGATCTGACCCATTCCACGATGAATGGCATCGGCATGAAGGACAACATCCATAAGGTTGTATCGCGTTCCACGCATTTGTTCTTCACAAAGAGGACCATTTTGAGAAGCCCAAGCAAAACCTCCAACAACTGATTCCTTGATTTCAGCCAAGTAGTTAACTCCCTTGGTGGTATCAACGAAAAGGTTTGGCCCGGTTCCTTCTGGACCAAATGCCCAGATCTTCCTGGCTTCAGTGACATCCCATCCGAAATCATCAGCAAGAGTTCTTCCCAAAATCTTGGCATCGATTCCGGGGCGGATTTCGCCATCGTCGATGGCGACACAGAGTTCTGGGGTAAGTGGCTCGGCTTCGACGAAGAGACGGTTGTGCTTGTTTGCAGACTTGGCAAGACAAGTTTGGTTGGACTTTGCGGTGCAGGTCTCACGGAAAGAAACTACGGGGTCTGAAACCTTAACCTGAGTTCCCATGAAGTCATTTTGCAGATCTTGCAGACAAATCTCAAGGTGAAGTTCTCCAGAGGCAGCAATTATGTGTTCTCCAGACTCCTCGGTGTAACATAAAACCATTGGATCCGATTTGGCCAGACGCTTCATACCTTCAACTAACTTTGGAAGGTCAGCAGAGTTCTTCGGCTCAACAGCACAACGAACAACAGGTGACACTGAGAATTTCATAGTCTTAACACAGTGAGCATCTTCCTCGGTACAGATGGTTCCAGACTTCAACAAGTATTGATCGACTCCAACCAAAGCACAGGTGTTTCCGGCAGGAACATCAGATACTTGCTCGGTGTATTTACCCATCATGATAACGGTACGCTGGATATTCTTGACCCACAACTCAGTCTTCTTTCCAGGCACATAATTGGGACCCATGATTCTGACCTTCTGTCCAGTGGCAATCGTTCCCGAGAAGACACGACCAAAAGCGTAGAATCTTCCTTTATCAGACGTGGGAACCATCTTGGAAATGTACATACAAAGCGGCGCTCCTTCGGATGTATCGCAAGTGCGGATGGCTTGGGCAGTCTTGTCATCAAGAGGACCATCATAGAGGGTTTCGACACGGTATTTTTGAGCCCTTGCGGGAGATGGAAGATGGAGTACGATCATCTCTAAAACGGTATCTCCCGCTGGAAGCCATTTTTGCATTACACGCTTCAAAAGTTGCTTTCCCACAAGTTCCTTTTCGTCAGACTTCAACTCAACACCAATGGCCTTCAACATCTTCTTGACCTTTCCGTGCTTCTCGGCCATGATGGCTTCGAATAAAGTTGTAATGGGAGTTGCAATGAACTGACAGAATGCGCGCTCGAGTGTTCCTCCCTTGTCAGAGGTGGTCCAGACCTTTCGAGATGCATCAAAGTACCAATCTCCCCAAAGCTTGGACATCATCTTCTCTTCTGGGACGTTGAATTTAGCTCCATACGTCTTGGCGAATCGCTTCAATGTAAAAGCCCATTGATGAAGACCGGATCCGAAGGCAACAGTCCCAGCAGTGGGGTCAACTTGGACATCGCCGAGCTTTTCGTCGTTATAGGTCGCAACAATTACGTTCACGGACTCGATGGAGCGGCAAAAAGCTTGGTAGAGCTCTTCAGCTGGAAGTTGCAGTTCAAGAAGGGCGCGATCCACCTTGTTCACCATGAGAACTGGTCTGACACGTTCACTAATCGCTTGACGAAGGACAGTTTCGGTTTGAACACAGACTCCATCAATTGTATCAACAACAACTAAGGCTCCGTCAGTCACACGCAAGGCAGCTGTGACCTCAGAGGAAAAGTCAACGTGACCAGGCGAGTCGATCAGGTTGATAAGGTAAGAGTTTTCTCCAATTTGAACGTTGGCTTGTGCGTCCTGTTTCTCGGCAATCTCAGCTGCAAGCTCTTGTTGTTCCTCGGCACTAAGCCCGGAAGCTTCTCCTGCCTTCATGTCATACTCGAAAAACATAGAGATACCAGTGGACTTGATCGTGATACCGCGTTCAGCTTCATCGGCTCGAGTATCAGTGTAGCGTGCGCCACCGGCTGCCTTTGAGGAAATAATACCGGCCTTTTGAACCAACGAATCCGTAAGGGTGGTCTTGCCGTGATCAACGTGAGCAATAACAGACATTGAACGGATGTTGTGTTTGAGGTCCATAATGGACCTCATTTGATCAACTGTGAAATTCACCTGTAACATAAAGCAACATAGTTTGTCAGCGTTATGGTTTCAATTTAAAAAAGAGCTAGTTCCTCAAGAAGCCGGGCATCATTGTGACGGGATTGGAAACGTTCATGTTTGTATCCTATCCTTGACGGAAACAGTCAGCAGAGCAGTGCAAAACTGCCTCCTCACGAAGCATCAGATAGCAGCACGCTCCCTCTCCCTCTTGTCTCTATAGAACACATCATCTTACGCACCATCGTTAAGATTCGATGCAATGCAATATATGGTTCTGTGTGAATCCAGCTGCTCCAGCGGATGGTTCATCAGGAATGGGATATGGGCCTTTGCCATGTGTTCCTGGTTGGTACATACAGTACGTACTGTACGTGGGCAGAGATTTTGACACGCGTGCGAACATTTGCATTCTGCTTTCAACAAATGTGACAGGACTCCCAACAACAACTCGTCTGTCTTGGACCAGAGAGTGTCCGTCATTCGTACGTTTCGATAGATTAACCTAGAGATTCGCACACATCTTGTAAAATCCCCATGTTTGTTATCGTACTCGTTTTCGTACCGTTAAATTGAGTAGCGAGGTACGAGAGATTCGGGACGAAAACGAGTACGATGACAAACATGGGGATTTTACAAGATGTGTGCGAATCTCTAGGTTAATCTATCGAAACGTACGAATGACGGACACTCTCTGGTCCAATTAACGGTCCCGTCAAGGTGATACTGATGTATCAGAGAACCTTGTACTCCGAATTGGGCTAATATCAACCGTACCCCCTCTTGGGAGGACGTATCATCCAATACTGTCCAAGACTGACAATATCCGGCGACGGATGAAG